GAAACCCCCCCCCCCCCCCCCCACACACACAATTTTGTATGTAAATCTAAGGTGAGGCTTTAATGATGATGATGTAGGGGGGTCATCTTAGAGTCAAGTAAATGCAGTCAAAAAACCATTGCAACTACTTGGCCAAGCCTACCTCACCTGCACTCAAAAGTGAAATGTCCTCAGAACAAATATTTACCTAACTACCCATCAGATATTACACATCTGCCATCCAGTGCAGAAACCAGTCCAATGTTCAACCTGTTTACTTGACTAAGTTTTGGATCAGGGCTTATTTAAGCCCCTCCGTGTGATTTTTGTGGTGGCCTCTGATGTTGACATCTCAAAGCAAGATCTGCTAGTAGATTTAATATTTTTTCTGTCTTGTGTGCATAATTCAATTAACTTTAGAGGGAGTTCAGGTCACAGCAGAGCTACAGCTAGACTCCCAACCGAAAGCACTCTTGCGATTACATTAAGTATAGTTATACTGATCACTTCTGGGAAAAAGTGAACATTATAGTTGTCTACAAATACACTTTTATCTGAAAATGAAGAATTAAGTTTCCACTTAATTTAAATTAATGCGGACAGCTATAGCTAAGATCACACAGAATCTAAACTTAATTCAATTCTGCTATTTCCTGTGAACAACCAGCATTAGACATGATCATAACATTCCCAGTTACTTTCACAGGATCTCAGATGGATTCAAAGTGAGTTCTGAATTTTGCACATTTTCAAGCTATCTGGTGATGCAAGTTATCAGGTTTCACATAGATAATCTAGCTGCAGGGACTGTGTGCAGCTATCATGTCATATACATACTGCAAGTACTGCTATCTCTGAGGCCACATCTAGGGCATCCAGAGGTTTCGTGGCAAAAATAAGTCCAAGGAAAATTATTACCAGGCTGTTCGCCAAAGGTGCATGTGTTCTATCTATAGGTTGGCAGAGCTGATGCTCCACTCAAAGCATTTGCAAAATATGAGCAAAGGGAAGCACGTTAACAAAGAATTACCCTTAGAACAGGAGAGGGTGAGGGACCTATTGAGCATGGAAACCTGTGACTTTATTTTTAAACACTTCATAATTTGGATAAATATGGGCAGTTTTCCTCATGGGACCTGTAAAAGGGACATATGTGACAGCAGGACCATTCCCTGCCAGTCTTCAAGGCCATGATCGGAAGCATGGAGGCATTATAGCTCCACAGGGCAATGGCTGTAACATGGGAAAAAAGATAGTTTCCCATATCTTGCCTTTGGAAGCAGCTCCCAGAACTTTAGCCAATGACAATTTAATAGACATGCATGGACAACTTTGGGAACATTAGGAGCAGGAGCCAGAAAACCATGTTTCCTGGGCAGTGCTAGCCCTACAAGGCCAGAGAGCAAAACTTTCTCTTGCTTGCTCTCCTTTTGGCCCAACATCTTTCTCCCTCATCTGCCCCATGAGCCAGTTTCAACAGGAAGCCTGGGGGATGCCCTCAGCCCTGGCAAACCCACAGCCTGGTGTTTAGGGCACTCATCTACCCTTCTCTTCTGCTGCACAGAGATGAGGAAAGAAGATGGGAGAAAAGAGAATAAATGTGTAGGGAGCAGACACCTCTACTGTTGAAGCTGCCTACAGCACAGTATAGGTTTGTACTTGGTTTAACAGGTTGTTTGACTGTTTCAAGCAATCAGCTGGCCAGGCCACATTGTTCTTCTCTCTTCCTTAAAAATAACTGCAAATTTAAAAACGTCTGTGGTTGTGCTCAGTACTTGCTTTTGTCTATTTACTTGTAAAGAAGTAAAAACCCAGAATTACCCCATTAATGTAGCAGAAAGCAACGTGCACAAGTTAGTTATATGAGACCTCCACAATCCCAAACTAGCAATCAAGGAGATTAATTAGCCCTTACCCAGTGCAGTTCATAAAATTAATTAGGCCCAATATAACCCATAAAGTTTAGTAGTCTTCTCATCCCAGGGGTGTAAACAGCAGCACAACAGAAATTTTAAAATTCTGTACCGAATCAGTATAATATATTACAATAATGCACCATTTAGAATGTAGTACATATATTTGTAATTGATTCCTCATTAAAACCATCTTGCATGTCATGCATGTGAACATACATAGTAGCCCTGGATTTCTTTTTCACTTCTGCAGACAGGATGTTTGGCAAGATGGACCTTTGGTCTGGCCCCACTATGGCAACGTTTATGTTCTTATCGCGTTCCTGTATTTACATTCCCTTATAGTTGTATAGTGTTAGGTTGGTGTCACAGTGTAAATAGTTTAAAGAATCATCGTTTATTGTTAATATTTTAATGAACTTCAATACAATCATGGTCTTTATAAAGAAAGGCGGATGTGGAGTGATCATAGCTGGGTCTTCCACAACAACTAGAGAGGACTAGAAGGCTATATTAGGGGGACGGTAATAAAGATGGGGGGGACCTGTGGAGAAGCCAGGTTACAACTCACACCATGGCTGCATGTGACTACACTTAGGTTCCTATATTTTAGGACAGAAGTGACAAGTTCATCTGTGCCCGGAGCCAGATCCAGACCCAGCAGTGGCAGGACAAGTGGTGGTAGCAGGGGCCGCAAAGCGGTGCTAACACAGCCCCCCTGCTGCTTCTCCCCCTCAGTCTGTCTCTTGACAACCATCCCAGCAGGGCTCTGTAGCTGGGAATTTGGTGGCAGTCTTGCCCCACTGCCGAATTCCTGGTCCCTCAGGGAGCCCTACAGGCTGGGTAAAACAGGTCTGCAAGCCAGGTCCAACCCATAGACTATATTTGGCACCCCCATTTTAGAGAGACCAGCAAGTGATTTTTTTCATGTTACACTGTAATTACTGTAAATGGTGATGGGGACAGGACAGGTTTTAGCATTACAGTTGCATTGTAGCATTCCAATACCACTGAAGTTAGTTGAGAATAAAATACCTAGCCCCATTGTCCATGCTACCGTACACTTGCATCCAAAAAATGTGGACTACTATGGACTGAAATCTCTCACTGTGACAGCCTCACAAGTTTGGTTGCAGCCTTTTCCAAAATCTGCTTGTGCCATGGTAGATGCAGTTTCTCATTGCCTTTTAATTTGTTCTTTGTGACAGTAAGATGAATGGACTTCTTTCCTTGTTCTCTGTTTTATTATGGAAGGTTTGCAGTTATCATGGGTTCTGTAATGACAGTCGTTTGATAGAAATGCTATGGTTCCAGCATTGCAATGACAGAATTCCAGGATTAGATGAATAAAGCTAATTATAACAGATCTGATTTCATATATAATTAGCCCTGAAAAGAACACAGCAAATCAACACAAAAGCCATAGCAAGAAATTACTTCTGCATGAGTCAAACCAAAAACTATTTCGAAGTGGCATTAAAAAGGCAGAGACCTTTGCACAGAGTGTTACCTGTAATGCACAGGCATTAATTAGAGCAGGTGTCAACAGGAAGAAATAACACATCATATTTAAGATATATGATGTGGCAAGGAGCAAGGGTGAAAGCATAGCAAGGAACAGTTAAGATTAAAAACCAAACACCAAATGAAATTAAACCTTGCAAAGGAACTCCCATTTCTTTGTTATATTTGACCTTTGAATTTGAAGAAATATGGAGGATTCTTACTGAGAGATTTTACGTGTTGACAGGTGGCCATGTGTAGTCCAAGTTTAATTACATGTTAGATTTATTTTTCCTAAATGGACACAATTTGCTCTTGCTTTAAGGCCACCATACAAAAATAGAAGCTTTGTACCCTTGTTTTTAACAGAATACACTTCACAGTTATGCGTTGGACAGCCAATAGTTAGACAAGTGCACAAAACAAATCACCCTTGTTTCATGATGTTTCATTAAATTTCTGTTTGAAACCCAAAACAGGTCAAGGGCCAGGAGTTCTCTTCTCCACTGCATCCAAGATGCTTTAATACAGTGAGGGCCAACCTTTTTTTGGTAGGCATGTCACAAATTGATAGGCATGATCCTGTGCCCTCCAAATCCCACTCTGTTCCCCTTCCACTGCCCAATCTGCTCAGCTCTCTGCCCTGCGGTCCCTTCTGCTCTGCTTTCTCACCTGCCTGCCACCGTGGTGCCTGCCCCCTCACTGATCTCCTACACACAGAGGCTGCCCGTCCCACTCATGGCACGCACCCCTGCTTTAGCATTTAGGCAGCTCTTTTGGTTGGCAGAGGCTAAAATGCTTTACAAATGTGTGCAAGCATTATTATTCACACTTCACAGGTGGGGAAACAGAGTCTCCAAGATGGTAGATTTATTGCCTGAGTCACACAGCAAATTAGTAGCAGTGGTGAGAATATAAACCACTTCTCCCTGACTCCCTGTCTTTTTTGCAATGCACTGCAATATATTGCACTACTATATATATGCACTGCAATATATATGCTCAGTGAAGCAAGCCATAACCCTTCTTAGAGTTTAGATGCTCTGTGTCTAATTCCTGCAGTCATTTGGGACAGGGGCACTTGATGGACACTTTGTGCAAGGGGGGTTTCAGGTCCCCTCTCTCAGTGGCAGGAATCAGATGTGTTTGTGAGATGATTCTTGATTATCCAGGGAACATGCTCAATGGAGTGGACTGTACACAGTTCTGCCAAGTGCCCAAGGCAATAAATGAGAGGTGTTTCATTAACGTCATTGTCATAATTCTTGGGTGCTGCTTTAAATAGGCAGGACGTAAATCTCAAATGGGAATTACAGTCTGAGGCAGAAACATTTGTTGGGCTGGGCTGGGCTGGGCTGCTCAAAAATTGTGTGGGACATGGGGAATCGTGTCTTGTCAGGATGAGGGGTGCTAGTTTAGGCTGTCACTCGGGTCCCAGAGAGCACAGTGGCATGCCGAGGTGCCCAGCAGCCTCTCGGTAGGGCACAGCAGCAAGCTGCTCGTGCTTCCCAGCAGGGATGGTGAAATACCAGGCTGTATCATGCCCCGTCCGGCATCCACGTGGACTCTCTGGTTGGGCTGGGGCAGGGACGTCACACAGTGTCACCGTTCGGGGTAACGTCCTCACTGGTGCTTTCCACCGGGACAGGCTGAGGACACAGCTCCTTGTGACATCACTGCCCTGCTTGCTATGGCATCATCAGCTTTTCCACGAAGCATCATGCAGACAAGGTTCTTTGGGGGAAATGCAATCTCTTTTATTATTTTTTTTAACGAAATCTTCATTTTTTCCCAAGCAGGAAGCAACTGTGACCACCTGAGATCCTGCTCCTGCCTTTGTTTTTCAAGGTAATTTGCATCATTCATCACAGACGCTCATGGAGCTTCACACCAGCTCTGAATTGCCTGCCCAGGAGAGGTTTCCCTCTGTTGACTCCTCTGTGAAATCCTATGAAATATGAACTTTCCTTTCTACCCAGGACAATTTTTACAATCTTTTCTCCGATGCCTGATGAAGGGTGTTTGTGTCTGAAAGCTTGCAATGAAATGTTGTTGTTTTGTTTTGCAAAAATCTTGTTCTCATAAAAGATCTCATCTCTACTACCAGTCCTGATTGTCGTATCTTTTATTAGACAGACTACATTTAGTTGATGTCCTTAGATCAGCAACCACAAAGCACCCTAACATCCTTTCTCGGGCCCAGCAAGGTGTTTTGCAGTCACCCTGCTCTCAGGCTCACTAGGGGAATTTGGCGGGAAAACTGCCCGCCCCCAAAGGCGGGCGCCAGCAAGCTCCCTTGCCCACAACCAAGATGGCTTCCAAACACACAGCGGGAGGAGCAGAATGAAGCTGGGAAGGGGAGGTGCCCTTCATAAAAATGGCGCGGGTCATGTACTCACTGGGGAGGAGTGTGTTTTCGCGCATGCGCAGAATGCGGACGTCCCTTGCCAGGCCCCCGAGGCTCTTACTGCGCCTGCGTCGCTCCCAGGCGGGGGCGGAGTTTAGTTAGAATTTTGGCGGGTGTCTGAGGCGACTGGTGAGTGCGGTGGCGGGCAAGGGGTGGGTAGGGCCCCTAGGTCCGAGGTTTTGGGGCTCCCGATACCCGCCCAAGCCGGGGGTCAGATGCACTGAATTGCATGTGACTTTGCCTGAGTCTCCCTGATCTTAACTATGAGCCAAGAGAGATGGGCGCTGCTTCCCCTGCCATCGCTAGGGTTGTATATGACCGGGGTGGGGGGCTCTATCCAACTGTTGCCCCCCACCCGAAACGCGTTGCACATTTTGGGGACATTTTTACAACTCCCCCCGCCTTGTGTGCACGTCTTGTTTTCCTTCCCAGGAGCAGCTGGGGTTTTCTCCCTGGAAAAAACCTTCTCTTTCCAGAAACAAGCGACTGTCTTGCTCCCCCGGAAGCGCAAGATCATTGAGGAAAGCAGCTTTGTCAGGCAGCTGGAGGGAGCCTTGGGGGACATCTACATGCGCATTAACGCTAGTACCTGGAATCGCAGGTGCTAACTTCAGGGCGTGTGTACACGTGCTTTTTGGGAGGCTGCTCTGAAGCGGAGATCCGCCTCTTCATTGCAGACTTGCTGAATCGAACGTGCTCTACGTGCCACGGGCTGACGTGCGCTGCATTGCGTGCAGTTGTGTGGGTGGCAAAATGCGCGTCTGTGCAGAAAATGGCGGCGGTGTGTTTTTTGAATGAAAATGGCTTCTATCCATTTAGGTTCAGAAGCGCCGCTGCTATTTTCTCAGCGCTGACGTGCATTTCGCTGCTTGTACGACTGCAAGGGTCGTAGCGCTGGGCGTTTGCATGTGTAAAAATAGCGTTTATGTGCAGTAACTGGCTTTGAAGTGATGCTGATGCGCAGTCGACTAATTCTCCTGTGCATGGATGCATTAGCATGGCTTTTGCCCCTGCTGTGGCTGCGCACGTGCATGCGGCATCTATTGGCCACATTATCAGCCACATCAGACGACAAAAGCTCATTGCCGATGCTCTCAATTTTCCTCATGTCGGTGCCAGTCTGATATGGCACCGATGTATTGGTGCACCTCTGTGTGTGGTACATTGATATGTACTGGCTAACATCAGTGAAAGCTGGGTGGGTGTTTGCTGAAGACTGACTGGGCAGAGTCTAAAATCCAGACTCCTTTGAGGGATGTCATTTGCTATGTTCTTGTAATTCATCCCCCAAAGCGTCCCTCCAGTAAAGAAACTCAGTGTGTGGATATAGAAAAGATGTGCACTAGGAAGGTCACGTGGTTTGTCTGCCCTGTGTGTTCCCCCTGACATCTTTTCCTGATCCTCCTGTGACCTGGGCATATTATGCTGTTATGTCCCTGTCATTGTGTTGGCAGTGCCCATGTCTTCTGTTTTTAGCTGCTGCCTGGTTGGTGTTTCAGGCACTGTGCTGGATTGTAGCAAGTAAGTCTTTAAAGTGGAGGTTCTGGGAAGTCCTTGAATGAAGGCTTGCCTAGAAATGCAAGGACTGCATTCAGTGGCTCAGGAGCCCTCTACCTGAACCGCCTCCTCTGTTCTTAAATGTGTAGAGGGGATGGACAACGTCATGTAGTGCCTAGGTCATGAGCTCTTGAGTCCTTCATAATGGCAATTCTGAATGCTATTAAAAGCAAGAAACCTTGGATGGTTTATGTCTTTAGTTTATTCCTGTTGGCCATGTTTTATTTAACTTGCAAATAAATAATTTTGCCCGTGTTCTCTCTCTGACAGATGACACTTTTTTTCCTTTGGGCTCTCTACTGAAGTCATCCTGTTGAAAACATGGAGGGTGAGATTTATTTCTCTGTTGTCTGGTTGCCTTTTCCGCCTGCTGTCTGGTTTTCCTTCTACTCTGTTCCCTCCTTTCTCAGGTCTGCTGCCCAGCTACCTGGTTCCTAGGTTCCCCGGGATATGTGGGGACATATGTTAAGATTGACAGGTTAGTCCAGCCCATGGGAGGAGGGGGGATCTCTGAACCCTTTGGCCAGATCTGGCTTCTATCTTTACCAACCTCTAGGTTCTCCTTTGCAGTAGAGGGTCTGGTCTCTGTTAGAAGCAGCTGCCAATGAAAAACAGTGAGCACTGTGTGCCTTGCTAGCTCTCAGCAGACCATGGATGGTCCAGGCACTATGGTTTGGGAACCTCTGTAATAAACACAAAATAAATATAGGTCCAAGAAAAATAGAGTGCATACCCCAAAGTCTCCTCTGTCTCCTTTCATGACAAATCTGCCTTTTCTCTTTCTTTCCTTCCCATTTATTTTTTTTATTATACATAGTAAAATTTGAAAGAAAAAATGATTGTCATATTTAAGTTAGAGCAGAAGAATAGAACCTATGCTTTGACATCTGTCTTTATTTTAACTGCAGCTTGGTTTAGAGCAAATTGGTAGTGCAAGAAGCAAATCAGTGCCCTGACTAGATCTAGGCAGCAGTTGGCTTGTCTCTGTAATTATATATGAGTAGAGTAACCTGGAAATGGCAGGCTTCCTTGAATTGGGCTGTAGTGATGCTTGATTTAATTAATTTATTCCAGGAGATGAGGACTTGGAGCTATTGGCTTCCCTGTTAGACGAAGATATGGCAGCTGAGGATGGGAATTGCCCTGAAGAGGAAGAAGGTTGCTCAGAGGAGGCAGGAGAACCTGATGAGTACGATGAGCTGTTTGATGCAGAGGATGATACCTCTTACACCGAGGAGGTTGGGTCTGAGGAGAGTGAAGCCAATGAGGAGAAGGAAACTGTGGCTACTTTGTTTGGAGATGTGGATGACTTGATAGAAGAAGAGAAGGAGGAAGAACCTGCACAAGAAATACCCTGTTGTCCAGCCCCCAGTCAAGAGAAAGAGAAAACCAATCAGGAGTTACAAGGTTTCTCTAGTAACCATTTTTGGCCAATTTGCCAAATATAGTTCAAGTCATGGTGATTGCTAGATGACTCCTGGGACTAAGTGGATGGCTTACTGGTGTTGGCAAGAAATAGAGAGACTTTCCTGCTTGATTTCTAGTTCAGATGCAGTTCTGAAGGGAAGCAACTGGAAGTTCTTGTATAGACTAATCAGTTGCTGGAGCTAAATAAGTAATGACTTAGTCCAGTTTTAGT